ATTGAGTACTCAATTAACAGTTCTATCTAGTAAGGGCTATAGTTCAATAGTAGTTGGGTTCTTCAAACAAAGCTCAGTTCCCTCATAAGTTAATGAATTGTTGTCTCTGAATTAGCATAACCTAAAGTGAAAAATAATTATTTAAATTTATATCATTTGAAGAATAAAAATTGATTACACTTCTTATAATCATTGATGAGAGAGTGAGTCTTTATGATATTAAGTAGGCCTCATTCATTAATAGTTGAAAGTAGAATTTTTTTGTTATGAAAAAATTAAAACATTTTTAATAAATCTTATTAAGAATATTTAAGTACTTGCACAACTCAAACTTATGCAATTCAAAATAGAAGGAAAAACGTTTCTATTAAAAATAACATATGTTTAATAATAATATTGAATTAAAACTCAATTATATTATTTTATTGAGTTTTAACTTTCAAGCCGCACCTTATCAATATTAGCACCGCAAAAACTAAGAAGCCGCAACTTTCTCAAGTTCATGGACATATTGTGAAAGACATCAACTTGTGAAAACAAAGTGTGCAATAATTTAGTGGCATCCCCAAATCTTGTTGCTGCCGTACCCTTATCAGAAATGACATTTAAATGTCGAATGTCTGCAGGAATATTCCTTCCGCTGCCATCTTCCAAAATCAAAGTTTGGGACTTTGAAACAAATTGTGCAAGATCATGAACTAAATCATGCATTTTGCAAGCAATAACGCTCCCATAAGAATCTCTTTCAGCATCTTGAAATAAAGAATATGATGACAATGAATTGAAATACCTATCACCAATATCCTCCATCTCCATGTATCTTTCACTAAGAGGCTGAAGAAATCCTTCAGCCATCCAGAGCTGCATTAACATCTCCTTTTCCATGACAGAATCTTTAGGGAAAACAGAGCAAAATGCAAAACATTGTTTCAAAGCAGGTGTTGGCAAGCGATTGAAACTCAACTGTAGCACACGTAAAACTCCATTAGCTTCTTCTTTGAACCTCATTCTTCACTACTATCTTTAATTGATAACCAGTCATCCTTTTTCCTATTATTGCACAAACTCCCTCCAATAACATTTGCAACTAATGCTAAACCTCTACATTTGCTACCAATATCCCTTCCAATCCTCTCCAATTCTGGAGGGAATGATGAGCTAACAAATGCTCTTTTCTTGATTATGGACCAACAATCCTCATCTGTTAGCTTCTCGAGATGATGCTTGTGCTTAGAAAGTGTTCTCATTGTGGAAGCTACTTTTTCACTTCGAGTTGTGACAAGAACCCTACTCCCAACATTGGTACCTATTCCCAACAAACAGCTCCTTGAGGATTCCCATTTTTTTCGATCTTCATTCCACACATAATCGAATATGAGAAGATAATTTTTCTCCCTCAAATGTTCCTGTAGTTTCTGAACTACAATATCTTGACTTTCATCAACAGAAACATTTTCAACAAAAGCTTGCAACATTTCTACTAAATTCGTTTCAAATTAAAATTTTTAGAAACACAAACCCACATTATTTTGAAAAAATGACTCCGTATTTGCTCATTGTTACATACTAGTTTGGCCACAGCAGTTTTGCCTATGCCTTCCGTACCCACTATGGATACAACAAGGAGACATTGATCATTACTTGAGTCAATCAATGATTGAACGACTTTTAGGACCTTATTTTCTCTTCCTACAATTTTTGATGGATCACTAATTGAGGGATCTGTTTGTTGGGTTTCTATATATTCAGGATGCTTGCTTGCAAGTCTATATTGTAGCCCTAACCCAGCGGCCCCATTATTAAGGTCAGCTAGTTCTAAATTTAAATTCTTAATCCTGTTAGCTATCTTAAGGCGAAAAGCTAAAGGATTGGAAAGAGTAAAGAAATAGCTGACCTTTTCCCACATTTGAGCTACCTTGTACCGTAGATGTTCATATGCAATCTCATCTACCACATCGTCAGCTTCATCAACTATATTTTTAAGCTCCTCAAGCCAAGGTTGCAGATTAGAGTAACTTGTCACCTTCTTCTGTTCAGCATCTTGCAATACGCCCCCCAATGTTTTGAGCATCACATGAAACTTCTTGAGTTCCTGCTTGAATCCCACTGCTAAGTTGAGTTGCTCAGTAGTAACTGAAATCACCTTAGATATTGTGACATCCACAAGAGGACCAAGAAGTTTAGCCTCCATATTTGATACAGTAGTTTGGAAGAGAGAAATGTTTGGAGATTGTACAGCAGAAAAGAGGGGAGAATAATGTGAAGGGGATAGAGAATAGCTACAAGCAACATTTATACATGTAGACAATAGAAGGTGAAGGTTGAAGATTGGTGCTTCTCCAACGAATGAAGAAAAAGATAAAAGGGATGTGTGATGAGGAGGAAAAGATGAAGGATTGCCCTATATTTATCTTTCTTAAAACACAAGTATTCCTCTCCTCCATTGTTGTTAGTTAATCAGTTAATGCAATATTCCTTTAGAGTACATTTCAGAGCCCAAACAAATCATGGGATAGGACAAAAAATTAGTCTCATCCCGCTGTATCCAATGTTTGGTAGAACTAGAAGATGGGATACACTGTATCCAATCTTTTATCCTATCCTACGGTCATTGAATAAAACGTAACCCACCTCCCCCATGGGATTAAGTGGGATAAAATTTGATTTTCATATTTTACCCTCCTATTCCTCTCGCGAATTTTCTGTGTCTCCCATGATTTTCTCTGTCCTCTCCTATAATTGCACCAAACCAGAAGTCCTTCTTCAGTCCGCGTCTGCACTCTGGATGGACCTGCAAAGCCCTGAGGTTGAACTCGGGGTAGACACTCCGATGCTTAAGTCAGCAATAATCGAGGCTACCTTAAGAGTGGAGATAAAAGGAGTCTAGGGTTGGTTTCAATTACCTTTTTGATGTGACCCCTGGGGGGTATTTATAGGCTTCAGTGAGGAACCCACGTAGCATGCCAAGCAAGATATTTAGAGTCTGACGTGTCTCTCCGGACGATTATTTTGGGACTGGGAAATTGAGAGATATTCAGATGCAAGAATGTCCATTATAACTGCTGTGCAGCTTATCATAAGGAATCAAGCGCAGGCATGCTTATTGTCGCTGGCATGCAGCTGTTTGAGCGGGAAGTTTTGGATTTATCCTTCGCTTCGGTTATACAAGAATTACTGTCGTACGTTTAAGGTTGGGCACCTCGGACCTATCCTTACACTATTCCCCCCCGAAGTCATTCACTTGTGAATGATGTTGTTGGAGATAATGGGAGTAGTGCATAAATAGAAAGGAAAGGGGATGAAGATATTAAATATGAGTTACAGAAGTAAAAATAAAGATAAAAATACAAATCTGTAACTCATATGTATGTATAACCATAGCTAATAGTGAAATATGAGATAGGGGGTCATGATGGTTATGCCCAAAATAAAATGTGACAGAAGTGATCAGGGTCGTAGTCGTGGTAAAAGTAATGACCGGAATCACTATGGCCGGAGCCATAGTAAGAAATGATGACCAGAGTCAGTGGTCCGAGCCATAATAAAAGGTAATGACCAGAGTCATAGTGGCCGGAGCCATAATAAAAAGTAATAACCGGAGTCATAGTAGCCGGAGCCGTAATAAAAGGTAATGACCGGAGTCATAGTGGCCGGAGCCAATGCAAAATATGTGACGCTGGGTCATTGTGGCGATAGCCGAAGTGAAATATGTGACACTGGGTAACTGTGGCTAGAGCCGAAGTGAAATATGTGACATTGGGTAACTGTGGCCGGAGCCGAAGTGAAACATGTGTCATTGGATCACTGTGGCTGGAGCCGAAGAGACAAATAAGTGATGCACTAAAATCACCCTAGCAAGTGTACTAGTCGCTCCAAGTAATATAATGATGAGAAAAGTGTCGAACCCACGAGAATTGTGTCTAACTAAGTATCAAAATAATTAATCCAAATTTATTTGAACAACCAAATGAGAAGAAACTTTAATTAAAAATAATAAAAAGAAAATAACAAATAAACCTACTCAAGATAGGAGGCACTAAGGCATTGATTTCACCATAATCAATCAATATAAATTTTGGATTAATATACTTTCAAAACCAATTTATTGAGTATTATTGCATGTGATGGTGGATTTCCCTAAATTAATTAACTAG